AATTATTTTTTTTTAGATGCAAAACACAATGCCAAGTGCATTTGCTCAGGTTAACAATACAATATTCATCAAAACAACTTTTAAAACAGAACCAAATATAAAAATATATCAAGGAAGCACATTTCAAATGCAAAACTGAAAACAACCAGCAATAGCATCCACAGTCTAGCAATGATCAAACCAGGATACAAGCAACAAACTACAAAGCATAAATAAATGCTGATGAAAGCATTCCATAAAACATAAAAGAACCTGAAAGCAAACTTATAGGAAGCTTAACTGAAGTCTATGTGCAGTGTGCACTAGATATACATTATGGAAGAACCCAGACTAAAATGAGATGTTGATGTTGAAAATCAGAGCAAATGCCACATGTTACTTTATTTGCGTCTGGTCGGCATAAAAAAGAGCTAAACAAAATTTGATGCAAATTCATTGATTACCTATCCTACTCTATGTTCTGTCCCACCCTATACCTATTACGAAAATAACACACCAATTACCTGCAATTACCCTTACAAAAAATCAAAATATTGACTGGCATGCGGCCCAAACATAACGCAATACAATACTGGCGCACTTTCGACATTCTGACAAGGATTGACATTTGATTGCGTCAATTTTGGTCTCTGAGGCGAAGGAAAGCTGTCATTGATGACGCAATAATAACTTTACAATCAATTTTTCTGTCTTGGGTTTTGAATACCTCAAAATAGCAGTTATACATGTTACAAAACCACGTAGCTGGTCGCATTTATTTCTTTTGTCTTTTTTACGTCCTTATCATTTGTATGCCGATTGCCGAGAGAGGATCAGCCGGAGAGCATTACCAAGACCAACTATAAAATTATTACATTTTATTTAGTATTTACTGTCTCTTTATTTCCTAACCGGTGATTAACCTCTGAATTATAAAACTTTAGCTGTTGTGTAAAATCATATTATCAGAATGGCACATTAATATGCATTATACAACGGTGTTTTCGCAACAAGTTCGCACTAACTACAGCTGCAATAATTTAGTCGCTGTAACATTCCTTGCAATCAGCTGTTGGTGACGCTTCTGACGCATGTTTCCAAAAATGCGTGGTTCATTGGTTAGTTGGTTTTTGCTGGGCTTTTGCATGATTTGTTTTATAGATCGACTGGATACGCATTATTCACCGTGTCACTATTTATTTTTAACTGGAAATCGCATATCTTTTTATATCAACATTCATTTTGATAACAGTATCATTCCAGAAGCCTAACATTGAGAGAAACCAGAGTGAAATTTTGATCCTCAGCCAATGCTGAAGGGTAAGGTGAAAGATTTTACTGAATTCTTTTCAGAAAGGAATTTCAAATGTATTGATGCATTATTCGTTTTCCATTATCCAGTGTGCACTTCCTGAGGACTTAGCATAGCAATTTCAAGTCCTTACTATTTGTTTGGCTGTCTTTTTCTGCACAACAATGAAGCAAGTAAGGTTTATATAGCTCTAGCATTGACCCAGCTGTATTTTTCCTTGCAAAGGCAGGTTTTTAAAATTGCGGTTTTTTTGCGGGTTCGGCTCAGCCAAAATCAGCTTGCGGGTAGTTGTGGTTGGGCAAGGGGTAGCTGCGGGGCGGGGCGGGTAATGAAATTGCAAATTTGGTGCATCTCTATTGTATATCTCGGATTTTTTATATCCGTGACCTAAGGTCAGGTCAGTGGCGTGACCTTTCCATTACAAGTCAAAAATGAAAATGCCTCTAGATCCGTGTGTACGCATAGGAGCAGTCCAAATATTTCAGAATCACAGTGATTTGGACCATCCGTGATGACCTAGGTGTCATTTTCGCTGATAGCCTCTAGAAAGGTCATCCGAGGTCATTTGAGGCTACAAACAGATTTTTGCCAATAACTCGCGATTGGAAAGAGATAGGACGCTGGGGATGGTCTCATTGTGTTTGTCTTGTTGAGACGCATCGACTGATATGCAACATGACCTTTTCCGGTCAGGTCATGACCTTGACCTGAGGTCAAATTTTCAAGTTGACCTTTCAAGGTCAAATTATAGTTCAATCGACGCGTCTCGGCGAGAGGAACACGATTCTGGCAATAGAAATGTCGTGCTTTTTGTAGTCGAAAGTTATTGTCGAAAAACACTTTCCGTAAAAACAGCTACCTATTTTTGGAGTTTTTGCCCTCTGGAGGCTAAACCGTTGACCTGGGGTCAATTTTGATAATGACCTTATCAAAGGAAGAGTTCGAAAGCTATCGATTGCTGTTCCATGCGTTTTTCTAGCTACCATAGTTCCTGAGATAAGGGCATGTTTTCTGAAAAATATAATGACAATTGGCAATTTTTGACCTTTGATGACCTCTGGTGACCCCAATATTGCTCTGACATGAAAAATGACTGAAATACTTTCAAACGTACGCATTGAGAGCTATCGACTGCTTTTTACCGCGTCTTTCTAGCCCTCTTAGTTTTTGAGTTAGAGGTGGGTGGTAACATATGCCCCCCCCCCCCCTCCACTAGGGCGAAGTTGGCTGAGACCGCCACTGGGGCGCGGGCTAATGATGATGATTGTCCTAATCTGCGCACTGCATATTGCACAAATGGAGACTGATTCTGGGAGTCTGAAATTATGAGGCCGATTACGATTAGGGTAATGAGTTATAAGGTTAACTCATTAACCTTATAACTCATAATAAGTAAGGAAATAATGTAACTAGTACAACACTAATTTCTACTTTTGCAAAGTTGTTTAGATGTAAAAATGTATAAATAAAATGTGTAAAAATAATGGCCAAAATCTTGGCATTCAGGTATTTTTAAATGTTTGCTTGATCTTTTTTTTTAATCGAATGGGAAATAGAATCGCTCAAAAACTTTTTGGCTGAATCAACGTGAATCGTTCCTTTTTTGTTTTGTTTTTGATTCTATGAATCGAAAGGAATCGATTCACCATTTTTTTACGAATCTAATGGCAATTGCATTGAAAAAAAATCAAACGAAGCAGTGATTGAAACGATAAAAAAAGTGGAATCAATAACCAGTCTGGCGGGCAATGCACAGTGTTTTATCTCGGCCTCAAAAGCGGACATAATTAGCATTTTTGGCTATTTATATCTCGATTTTTTTATCACCAAGCGCGTCTAAATAGACCAGCAGGTCTAACAAAGCAAAAAAAGAACATCTAGCTACCATAATTTGTGTGCACTAGCGTCACAAACACGAGTGTTGCGGTGTGATCCTCGTGGTTTGCATACCAGGTCGTTTTACGGTTCACATTCGAGGTCACATGGGGAGCTCATGTTTCGCAACTTAAGGTAAAAATTATACATCAATTGAAAGCTTGCAATGTTGGCAAGACGCCTACGTTGTTCATTTACCCGTTTCTGATAGAAAACATTTTAGAAGCTTAAGATGTCGACCATGTTAAATTTATTTTTTCTGTAGGATTTCAATGTTCAAATAGAGCTACAAAAAATCGCACCTGGTTGCACGTCTCAAGACTTTGTCAGGATAATTCTAGTCATGTTCTCTTCGTGTTCTGAAAATGTCAGCTGCCGAGAGGTGCCGAGAGGCCGGCAGTGTCGTGTTGAAGAGACCTCCACCGCGCGGCGTCGGTGGGGCCGCGCGGTCGTGCCGAGGGAGCAGGAACTTCGAACGATGGAAATATGGCTAGGAGAGCATTCCGTGGCCCCAAAACGTTCAGTGAAATCACCGGCGTGGATGAAGCAATCATCACGCGGCTTTCAGTGCTCCTGAACGCCATGCAGTCGCTAAAACGCATAGATGCTGAACGATTCAGCAAGTACGCCATGAAGACCGCTGAGATCGTGGTTTAGCTCTATCCATGGTTTTATATGCCGGTCAGCGTCCACAAGCTCCTTCTCCATGGTGCTGCCGTCATCGAAACTCTCCTGCTCCCCATCGGTATGTATTCGGAAGAGAATCAGGAAAGCCGAAACAAGCACAATGGGGAATATCTGCAGAAACATGCGCGAAAGACGTCTTGGGTGAACACAATGTCAATGACGGACCAATACCATTACCTCCTCATCACCAGTGACCCCCGTCATAACGAAGAAGTGTCAGACGATGCTGGAGCCGTTGCGGAAGAGAGAGAGAGAGTCAGCTCGCGCGCACAGGGTTGACATCAGTCACCTGCTCATGCTACCCGACGAGGGAGAGTGAGAGGTGACGTCAGGTGATGAAGAAAAAGCTCGATGAGTGCACTCAGCCGAGCGATGAGGACTCGAGCGATGACGATCGCGATGAACCTGAACATGTAGATGTGCAAGTGCCTGACTACTACGCTGCCAATGTCGTGTAGAAAATTGGAAATGTGCCGCAGTCATTGATATCTACAAGATTGTTTGCTACGCAGTTGGTGTGTTTGGCGTATCTGATAGTTGTCTGCTTCTGAGGAGATTTCATTGATTTAACCTAAAGGTTTAGGATCATGTTGCGCAATTGTGCCATGTGGAGAGCACGATAATATAACCTGAAACCTGTTAAAGAAAGGAACAAATTGATATATTCCATTTAGCATTGCATTTATCAGAGCATCCGTTCTTCCCTTGAGTGTCCGATCTGTATGACGCTTTTGTGCATCATGCAACGTCTCTCAAATGTATAAAAACATTTAGGTATCAATAAAGCAAAGCATGTTTTCACATTTCAATCTTAAAATGGATGTTCCCGCCTGAAATCAGAACACTCGGCGAACACGAAATAACAATTTTCAATGGCGCTTGTAGAAAAGCCCTTTTTGCATAAACTAGCGAATTTGGTTTTTCTAGATGATACGATCTTTCCGGATATATTTGGACATCAGCGACGGTCAGCATGACTGCCAGTGCCTGCGCTTTCATTTGACATCAAAATTATTAGGATCCGATGGAAACTTGCTGAGATATCGTATTATGTCCGCTTCTGAGGCCGAGATAAAACATTGTGCAATGGGACGGCCGATGGCCAGTGGGTAGCCGGTGGGACAGCCGGTAGCGGGCCGGCACCCACCTGGTGTGCGCGTGGCGGCCGGCAGGTGCCGGTACTCGGCCATCGGGTGGTGGACGGCGCCGGCCGGCCGGAACGGTGCCGGCTGCCGGCCGCGGCCGGCCGCCTCCTGGCGGCGCTGCTCGTCCCGCTGAGCCCGCCACCGGCGCAGCAGCTCGCGACGCGTCTCACCTGCACCAGACCGCGCAAAGGGACGCATCACAAACACGAGCCAGTTCGTACAGCCACCCAGCTATCTCAATAGTAGGGGAGAGTGGGGCAAAGCGGCCACCCTAACGTTTCTAACGATGCCGACGCTTGATTTTTAAACTTGGAAAGATTCTTTCTATACCAATGTGATCCCTATTAAATTGTCTTTTATTCCAACTGCGTTTCATTTCCAAAGGCGTTCACATATGGGAGATATTGACAAAACTTTAAACCTATAGCATATTGGCCACTTTGCCCCATCCCTGAGGCAAAGCGGCCACTGGCGACTTCTCAAGTCCCGATATGAGAAACAGAATAGTTGCCTCATGCACGACTAGGGCATTTGATGGTGACAAGGTTTAAGGGAAGATGGATGTTTACTTTGTTATCCTCCCACCTATTGCTAAACAAAGAAATAATTTTCTTGGAAAAACATTTAATTGCATAATTTGGTAACTCATGTAACCGAAAAGTGGCCAAGATGAATGCATGACGACACATTTGAATATAAATAATGTTTTTATCCAGATGGAAACAACTTATGGCCAATTGGGGGCTGGCCACTTTGCCCCGGCCGCTTTGCCCCGCGCATACCGTCCGAGACAAAAATATTCCAGCTCAGCTATTAGTGGGGTAAAAAGCATTAAAATTGGTAGAAGGCATGTACGATAACCACGCAATGCATGGACAAAAACGCTTATAAAAATTCCAAATGATTATGGAATAAAATAACATTTAAAAATTGTAAATATAATTGGTAACCTGGTAAGAAATGCTTTTCCGTGTTTCACAGAACAATGGCGATGGGCCTGAAACCCCGGTCTGGCTCATTCGAACGACCGCAAAGAGAAGTATAATTGGAAATCATAAATTGGAACTGACGCCAGCTGTGGAGGGCTAAAACGATGGATGGCCGCTTTGCCCCGGGTGGCCGCTTTGCCCCACTCTCCCCTACCAACTCCCTACACAGGCATCTAGGAACAGCCAAGCAGATACGGATTACTTCTCCCATGCAGAACTTTTTCATAAGTGACTTTTTTCGTACAGTGATACATATACCCAGCTACACCATAGCCGTATAAACAATTTAACTGCATGGCCAGAATAAGTTCTGAGTGAGCATTTGATCATATTTCATCGTTGGACTGTGGTGAGAAGCCAGTCGAAACCATTTAAAATGCTTAAAACCCTAAACATATCGTCATCGACCAACACATGTTAATTCAACCAGTTGAGCTGGCAAATGGTTGGGCGTGTTGACCGTTTTACCGGGCCGTGTGGGTTCCAGGGCCGGGGCGGCGGCCGCGGCCGGCTCCTGCTGGCACCGGTTGGCCCGGTGGATGGCGTCCCGCTGCTGACGGCGCTCCTCGGCGCGCCGCAGGCCCACCCTCCGACGGCGCTCGTCGGCCGTGACGGGCGCAACGGCGCGCCGCTGCCGGTGTCGGCCGTCCCTGCTCTCCATCCCTGCCGCAACGCCGGACGGCGGCGTCAGTCACCACACTCGTCCCGGCCTCCACACTACTCTCACCTCACCACAGGGTCGCCCCAGACACGCCAGCACGTGGAGCCATGCCGGCACCTACGCCTGCTGCGCTGACGGCACCTGCGGCTATGAACTGGTACAGGTATCGAATTGCATACATACATATACCTACATGTTACCGTGATAATTCTCCTCGCGTTGTGTTTATTTTAACTTAACCCGCGCGGGGCTGGGGGGGGGGTAAATTTTACCCCTCCTCGCGAATTTTTGCAATATCTCAAAAACGGCGGCGCGCAGCGCCGCCAAACTTTCAGTACCTTTTCTTACATCAATTTGACACGTTCCCTGAAAATTTGAGCGAAATCCGTCGGAAAATTGTTGAGAAATTGACGTTTTAGTGACGTCATGTTCGCCATTTTCGCCTCAAAAACGGCAAAACTTCAAACGCCGCTAACATCTTCATTTTTGAAGGAATCAAGACGTAACAAAAAAGGTTATACGTCATTCTACTTTGTCTATCAAATGGCTATCTCGTTTTTTTTTGAAAATTTTGGATTTGGGCCCAATTTTTTTTCTACGCCGCCACCCATTAATAGGTGACCAGGAGTGCCCCCACCCTCGAACCCAGCGACACACAGTACCCTTACGTTAACACCAGAGAAAAACAAAAAAAAGCAATGTCGCGGCACTCCCAGCTAAGAAATGGAAAAGAAATAAAAAGAAGACAAGAAGGGAGCGAGGATGTAGGTATGGTATAATGCTGAGTTCACTGGTACTTTTGCTTTGCTCTATCTTAATTAGATCAAAAGTTATCAGCGAAAAACTTTTGACTTGTTTTAGCAAAATGTGTACATTTCATCTCCCACCCACCTCCCTCCCCCTAAATATTGACCTAGAGCAACCTAATTTGCACAGGGTCGAGACATAACTATAAGGGGGCCACCTACCTAACAAATTTGATATTTCTAGGTGCCATATAGGAGCCAATGGCGAGTGGGTCGCATCGACTCCCCCCCCCCCCAACCTTCCAGGCCGCGTTATGAAAAATGCCCTGCCAGGGCGAGGGTTAACTTAGATTCGTTCAAACACCTTAGATGCGTTCAGCTTTACGCGACGCCAGTAAAATAAAAAAAAATAAAAGATAAGTATCAAAAATTGTTGGAGGAAAATGTGTTCCAAAAACGTCATATTTTCAAAGTTCTTGCCATCTGGAGGATAGGCTGTTGACCCTGGGTCAAATAAAAAAAAAACTCAAAAGTCCCTTGTCAGAAAGAGCTGTCAAAACGTTTTTTTTTTTCCTTCTGCGGCGCTGTAGTCATTAAGGCTTATCAATGACCTTATCAAAAGAAGAGTTCAAAAGCTATCGATTGCTTTTCCATGCGTTATTCTAGATATCATAGTTCCAGAGATAACGGCATGTTTTCTAAAAAAAAAATATAATGACATTTGGCAAATTTTGACCTTTGGTGACCTCTGGTGACCCCAATATTGCTCTAAGATGAACAATGACTGAAATACTTTCAAACGTAGGTACGCATTGAGAGTTATCGACTGCTTTTTACCGCGTCTCTCTAGCCCTCATAGTTTTTGAGTTAAAGGTGGGTGGTAACATATGCCCCCCTCCCCCCAATATGGTGAAGTTGGCTGAGACCGCCACTGGGGCGCGGGTTAATAATTCCACCTTGGTAGCACTATTTTTTATTTATTACGCAGTGGCTTTATTAACAAGAGTAGGTAGTAATTTTCATTAACAAAAAGTATATTCCAGCCAGGCGCGGATACAAGGGGGGCCATGGGGGCCATGCCCCCCCCCCCTTGGCCGATTTAAAATAAAATAAAAAGTTAAAAAGCTGAAAAGGGGGCCTCCTGAAAATAAAGTGGCTATTCATGTTGAGATGTTGCCTGAACAGCTAGATAAGCTCAATAGACGCAGTTTTTTTTTGGGGGGGGGCCAACAAGTGGGAAGATGGGGCCTCCAACAGGTGGGATTATGGGGGCCTCCTGGTTTCTAATGGCCCCTCCCTTGGAGATTTTCTGGATCCGCCCCTGATTCCAGCTCTACAGTTGACTACATAATAATGTTCCTCAATTAACAAGCAGTTGCCTGGGATGGTAGGCTGTGCAGGATCACACAGACTGAGTGACACAGTTCAATGATGTGACCAGAGGGCTGTTCGGCTGCGCAGCCAAAATGAAATATGCTGCAGCACGCATGCGCAGTGAGGGCTACGGCTCCCGTTAGTCCCGCCCACGCCACTGCGTCACCGCCTGTGTGACGTCACCTACTGAAGCATACTTCGTTTTCCTGCAGCCAGAAATTCGGTGCTGCAGGAGACGCAAGTGGCGCGGATTAACCCATGCCCGGCTGGGGGTCCTGGATTTTCACGCCCTGCTGGGAGGGGGGGTGTTTGAACATCCCCCCCCCCACCCCTTTAACACGACCCCTGGGCCACGTAGCGACACGCGGAAGGCGGCGTTCGAAAGAGCACCAAAAATAATGACGAAATCACTTCGGTCACTTTTTGGTCAGGTCAAAGGTCAGGTCACCAAAGGTCATTGCAGGCAAAATTTCGCCGATTTTCAGGTCGAATGTCGACAATTTCCAGGAAGCCAACGCATAACTCGGGAACCAATAGAGCTACAGCGCCGCGGAAAAGCGCATTCGATAGCCCTTTTAACGCCCTTTCTGAGTAATTCTCTCAGATTTGACCTAACGTCAACGGTTTTGCCTGCAGGGCAGGGCATATTTTAACATACTGACCGAGTCCCATTTTGGGACGCAGCCCCCTGCCTTTGGGACGTAGCCCTCGCGAAATTTGGACCACTGCGTCCCACACTGAAATGCCACGGTTTCAGAGAGGAAAGTGCGAGCAAAACTAAGTAACATGCCTCGGCCTTTTACTGTGTAACAGATGTTGCCTTTCCGATTGCGTTGTGCCCTGATTTACTATGTACCTACCTAAGAACATACATGTCCTCTTCAGTCCTTGTGCCCTGCCCTACTCTAGGTCGTACACCTTATCCCTCGCCGGCACAGGGGGGGGGGGGGTAGATGCAACCCCCCTAAGGTTTTTTCGCGAATAACTCGCGTAAAAAGCGGCCGATCGCGACGAAACTTTCAGTACCCTCGCATTGATCAATTTTACACCTACCCTGAAAATTTCATGACCCTGACCCAAATGACCTTTCACCTGTGACCTCTTTTCCGAGACCATGTTTGGCCGGAATCGCGATTCGGCATATGTCGGCTCGCATTAGCCGCGCGTTTGCAAGCTTTTCGTGGTTTCAAACGTTCAAACATGTGATTTGATGTTGCTCCCATACATTAGGGTGAGTGTCAAGGTCACCTAAAGGTCAGGTCAGGTCATTGTTCTTTGATGACCTCGGGTGACCTCGGTTCACTTTTTCGAGTTTTACATGTTTCTAGGCTAGTTTTTGGAGCTGAATTCGAATTTAGCAACCATTTAAACATTTACGAAGTAGTTTTGGTGTCTTCGTAACATGTTACGAAGCTGTCAAAGACGGTTGACACGTATTACGAATACCCGTAACAACCCCTACCGGTTGACCTGACCTGACCTGACCCGACCTGGTCTAAATGCTTGAAGACATCATCTCTGATCAAAACTAACACGATATTCGTGATCAGCACCCCAGAAAACCATATCACAGCCACACTTTACGACTTTCTAACAGGTCCCGATTTTCCCGGTTTTCGGGTCATTGACCTGACCTGGAAGGTCACCCGATGACCTAAGACCTTAAAATTGGGTATCATCGGCTTCCTCTCGTGACGGGCAACACGCTCGTTTTTTCCGCGAAGCTCTAGCTCGGATCAGGGCCAAACGCGAGGGGAGGGGGTCGTATCAACCCCCCTTGTGCCGTCGAAGGACGCAAAATGGCCTGTGCCGGCGAGGGTTATTATGTTCTTCCCTACTATACCCCTAGATATGTGCCCTGCCCAGTGCCCTGTCCTTAGGTCTTGTTCCTTAATCCTTGCCCTACCCTTCCTTCAGACCCTGCGCCCTCCTCTGCATTCAGGCTCTGTGCCCCGCCCTGCCCATGCCCTCAAACCCGATACCTTATATACTCTGCAATTTTGCGCGCTGCCTTCCCGTCTTTAGACCCCGTGCCCTGCCCTACCCTAGTTTGAGCCCCCGTGCCATTCTCTGCCTGGTGAATGGGTACTGTTTGACCTTAAGTCATCTTATAATTTCAAACACATTGTATCTTCAATGCGAATTGGCAATATTTCACACGTCAAGCTCTATTTTGAATCGATTGATAGGGGTGAAAAACGCGTGAAGAGACGTATGTATCACATTTTAATAATGTGCATATTTATTTTCATTCATTAGAAAATAGGTACAACTTGGTGCGTCAAGGGAGGTCGAACACGCCCAACGCCGTTCAGGAAAACGAGTGACTAACAGCAATATCAATGTCATTAAATCGCCGGTCCGTCCTTTGAATGCGGATAAAGAACGCGCCACGACTGGGTGAATTTCGAGACTGGCCAAAAGCAATCACAGCCCGCTCCCAATATCCCGCTTGCTGCCGCTCCACCAGCACAGTAGGGTAGGCTGGGCAAAGCGCCCACCCTAACTTTTCAGCCTCAGTATCTCCTTATCTTACAAATTTGAAGAACTACCAGGTAGCTGATCTGGTAGCTCATTACCTTAGCTTTCTTCCAATAACACATCAGAAACGTGTGGCATGCACAGTATTTGAGATATGCTGTCCGATTTGAGAGGACTACAGATCGGGCGTTTTGCCCCACCCGTGGGGCATAACGCCCATATGAGTGGGGCATAACGCCCATTCCTGAACGTTTAATCACAAGTTTGATACTCTGGTAAAATAATGTAGCATTCATCCATTTCTCATTTCGTTAGACCTCAACTCGACAGATTGCTAAAAACATCTTAAACACTGCTGTCGCCACGCCAGTCCTTATTCAGTCAACGCCTGTCACTGCCCT